AAGCGAGAATCGATTCTGGTCAAACAACCCCATTATGACCTGCAGAGCCGGAGGGGGGGGGCAGCCCTCATCCAGCAGTGGATTAGCAACAAGGGCTGTACGTGTACGTATTCAAGGACACGGAATGTATATGGCACGACAAAAAGCTCGTACATTTTCGAACGTATTAACAACGTTCGCTTTTGAGTGAATGGGGAATTATTGCGAGTGAAATTTCAACGGCTCATCATTCTCTTCCATTCGACCTGCAGCAAGACAACGCAATTGTGCAGCAACGGACTGACGGCTTGTCGTCTGCGTGTGTTTACAGGAACTCATCTACTCACGAACACTCGACTTAAGAACTTTTAGGAGATACGAACAAACCTGTCAGTATGTCCAGTTGTCGGCGCAATAGATGGCGGTGGTGGCATCTACATCTGCAGAACGTAAAGAACCAGTACCATCTACATCTGCAGAACGTGAAGAACTAGTGACATCTACATCTGCAGAACGTGACGAACCAGTGGCGCCTAGATCTGCAGAACGTGAAGAACCAGTGGCATCTACATCTGCAGAACGTGAAGAACCAGTGGCATCTACATCTGCAGAACGTGAAGAACCAGTGGCATCTACATCTGCAGAACGTGAGAACCAGTGGCATCTACATCTGCAGAACGTGAAGAACCAGTGGCATCTACATCTGCAGAACGTGAAGAACCAGTGGCATCTACATCTGCAGAACATGAAGAACCAGTGGCATCTGCATCTGCAGAACGTGAAGAACCAGTGGCATCTACATCTGCAGAACGTGAAGAACCAGTGGCATCTGCATCTACAGAACGTGAAGAACCAGTGGCATCTACATCTGCAGAACTTGAAGAACCAGTGGCATCTACATCTGCAGAACGTGAAGAACCAGTGGCATCTACATCTACAGAACATGAAGAACCAGTGGCATCTACATCTGCAGAACGTGAAGAACCAGTGGCATCTACATCTGCAGAACGTGAAGAACCAGTGGCATCTACATCTGCAGAACGTGAAGAACCAGTGGCATCTACATCTGCAGAACGTGAAGAACCAGTGGCATCTACATCTGCAGAACGTGAAGAACCAGTGGCATCTACATCTGCAGAACGTGAAGAACCAGTGGCATCTACATCTGCAGAACGTGAAGAACCAGTGGCATCTACATCTACAGGAGATTACACAACTGTCAAAGCCATTCCCCGTGTTTAGTGTACATGCCGTACAACATGTTTGGAATCGACAGGAGTGAAGTTAGCCTTTCGAACCAATCTACTCACGAACCTAACTCGTTCGTAAGTAGAGGAGTAGCTGTACTGCATTCACCGACGAGGGTTCGGAAGTGAACATCTTCGCACGTGCTCACGAAACGCGGCGCCGTCGAATGCTGCGTGCACAATGTAGATCGCTCCGAGTGACTCGTACGGCCTGGCCACCCACCCCCTCCATCAAAATCACCGCATTCATTATTAACGATGTTATTAATTTGTTTTCGCACCTTCGATGTAAAAGCCACGAATACTATCCGTCTGCAAAAGGGGCAATGTGACCCTCGGCGTGGCGCGGTGCTGCCGCTCTGTAAAAACGAGACGACGCGCTTTCTCTCAGTTGGTGCTTTCTTGGCACAAATAACAAGGAAACGTCTCAAGATTATTAATAACAAACAAAATAAACCACAGCGCAACTGGCACACGGTGGCACACGTTGAGTTTCTTGTCCTTGCCCCACGCACCTCCGATTCGTACGGCCGGCTACGTACGGTGCGCGAAAGCGGTTCAACACACAGTGGCTTCATTGTTGTTGTGATTATTATAAAGGGCACTCCATGCCGAAAACCTGTAGCGCACACACGGTCCACGCGCCCATAACGTCATGGGGATAATAAGCGGCTTTCATCCTCATCATCATCACCTTCGTTGTCACACAATGCGAGTCACTCCACCCAGCGAGCCTCTGCGACACTTGCTACCAAAAGGTGAGGTCCATGAAAACTAAAGCCCACCCCATATACAAACTGAAGTCATGAGTCGGGACGAGTACTCCTTCTGCAGCCAGATGCGATTTAAAAAGGCCACGTTTAAAATCAATTGTACACGGGACGTCCGGTTTTCGTTGTCAATCCACTGCTGCGCTTGAGGATCTCTCTCCACGTTGCTATTATTGTTGTTGTGACATTCTGACCGTGCCCCTACTGGACATCTCTATGGGGGGGGGGGGGGGGAAGTTTCATGGTTCATCGGATTCCTCCAGCATAAATCAATATTTGGATTATTCTGGGGGGTTTTGTTTTGGCCATGCTTCACCGTGCTGGTCGGTAGGTGGGGGGGCAGCGATCTTGATTCTTCGCCACTGTTCGTGAGCCGTAGTCGGGAATCAAACTCAGCTGGCCGTAGCATGGAAGAAGTGGGGCAGGGGGCCTATGTGGCTTTTACTGAGCAGCCCCTGTGCTGCCCCAGCAAAACAAAAACAAAACCTCACCCCACGCGTTCGAGGGAACGACGCTCCACACGAGCATGCGGGCTCTCCCAGCGCGTGTATTCGAGGTTGGCCGTTCCGCGTGTATTCGAGGTTGGCCGTTCCGCGTGTTGTTTCGCCACGATGTCCGACGTTTTCGCTCCACATGCCTGCTTAGGACCCCCCCCCCCCCCAGTGGGCCTATCACCAACCACCACACACAAGCGCGTACCAGTTGCCCCTATGCCTGGTTTCAATTACAGGGGCTGGGCTCGCGGCTGCCTAATCCCATTGAACAATGCGCGATCCAGGTAATCACGTTTGAACGCATCACTGCAGCTGCAGCGCATAATTGCAACATTAACAATGACCGTATTCACCGGATTATAAGACGCACTTTTCCCCTCCGCCTAATTTCTTAAAAAAAAAACATTTTAAGTAAAGGGTGCGCGCGTTCTTATAACCAGATTCGGCATGTTGTGTGCGAGACCAGATTTGTGCGACTTTGTTGACACACGACGCAAAGTGTTTAGTGGCACGTCTTACTTTCCGGTGCGTCTTTAGAATCCAGACAATACGACACACCCACACACATTTCAGGGCTGTTCCTGTCCCCCCCCCCCCACCCATTTAAAAACGTATTTGCTCGGCAGTAATTGCAAGGCGACGCAGGCTTTTAAAGCGATTAGGAAATGTGATTTTAATAGCCTTTCAAAAAATGGTACATTTATTTTGCAAGAGGAGTAACCCTACACGTCACACCTTTACTGTCGGAGGAGTGGTGGCGCAGCAGTTGACGCGCTTTGCTCTGCAGCTGACCGCGCGAGTTAGATTCCCGGCGATGGCCAACAATAGTGGCGAGAGATATCCGAATCGGTCGTTGGTTGTGGGGGCTGCCTTCACCAACCCGCGTGGTGAAGTGTGGTTAAAGCACTCCCATGACAGACACGGCATGGGGAGGTCTTCATCAATCGGTGAATTGACTCAGGGTAGTAACATTCCAGCCTACAGCCACTTGTGCTGTCGACTCCCCGTGCGGTGTGTAAACATCGCCACTAGGGAGACAAAGGCGGCCGGGCGTGGCTCTGGCCACACCCCCCCGCCCCTTATGTGCCGTGCTGACCTTAATAGGTGGCTCGCTAACAGCACTTGCCCCAAAAATCTACCGAGGCTATGCGGGGGATCTTCGTCTTTTTTACGTGGAATACATACGCGTTTTCAAGTAGGTACAATAAATGATGTTATTAAACATGCTTTGCGTGCACTTACCCGATTATAGCCACGTCAAGACAGAGCTAAATGGATTTCTTAACCCGATATTTCTCAGGAAACGTAAGTCGTACTAAGCCAATTGTAATGCCGGCAGGATGAATGATTTTTAGCAACGTTCCTTTCTCCCCCTACCTTTACACTTAGCGTGATACCGTCTAAACTAATTATTATTATTTTTCTTCGCTTCGTATTAAAATGGGCCCTGGAAACAACACGCTCATTTTAAACTGCCGATCGTAATTTAAATGAACCGTACTTCACATCCAATTCATTTTTTTTGCAAACTTCCCCCACTAAGAGGGCCGCTTATTGCATAAGAGCGAGTTAATGTGGAATACTTAAGTCGATGTCGGTAGCAGATAACAACTCGAAGTCATAATAAGAGCGGCGGAGTTGAGCGGTGGCACAGTGGGTTTGCACAATGCACAAACGAAATCGATGACCCGAGTTATATATGTACGTTGAACTTCTTTCGCACCGTACGTAGCTAACCGTGCTAACCGGAGGTGCGGGGGAAGGACAAACTAAACGCACAAAAGCACTTCTAAAGAAGTTAGTTTGTCAATCTAGACGGTGTGGAAGCACACAGCTCCAGTTGGCTTCCTCATATCGGAAGGAAGAGCGTTCCAGACGGCCGCAGAAGCGCATCTGAAAGCGCGGCGTGAGGGGGGAAAGATCCTAATCCAGACGTGGATTGACAAACGATGTTACGCATGCAGGCAATGTAAGAGAGACAGAGAGAGACCATGTCTGATAGTGTCCCTTCTTGTTCTTGATATCGAGGTTCGAGACGGCCGTTCGGCTACCCATGAAGATCTATAGTGACCATGATGCCCCCCCTCCCTTCTCCCCGTCTCGCCAATGAGGAACAAACTGCCTACAAGAAATCAGGGGCCAAGCAACTCGAGAAGAACTCGCGCATTTTCCCGTTGCCAAAAAATTGTCACGCAGCGCGTGCACGCGCTACAACACGCAGTTTAGTTCAAAATATTCAAAGAGTTGTCTTGCTGTACACAGACACACGAAGATGATATTATCAGGAGTCCTACACAGGGCAATGTATGTCACTGCGTTGTCTGTAACCCCCTCGCCTCCTCTCCACTGCCAAACTTACACGAACTCACCACTCTCCTCCAGCCCCTCCCGCCCCTCCCTTCCATCCATCCATCCCTCTGGGACCAACAAGCTTGCCCCCTCCCCTCCCTCTGTTCCACACCAACCAACTCAACCCCCCCCCCCGCCTAACACTCCCCTCTCTCTCTCTCTCTCACACACTCACTCACACAGTCACTCAGACGCGCGCACTCGGCTCGCAATACCCGGGGAGTTTTACGCAAAAAAAAAAACCTATTGCGTCTCAGTCGCACCCAGCGGCTCTCACGCACGCGGTGCTTCTCGACTCGCGACTCGGGCATAGAAGGCGGTTGAGCTCAGAGGGGCGAGGAGGAGAGAGACGCGCGCACACAGACGAGGGGAAGACGTAGATCCGACGGGAAGCCGATTCCGATATCAGACAACCCCGACTATTTTAAACTGTGGCGGGTTTTTTTTCCATTTAAAGCCAGAAGAGAGGGAAAAAAACCCACGCGCATAAATTGTCATCACCGCTCACCGTATATAACCTAATCCATTCTAATCCATTCCGTGAAAGGCGGCCAGACCAACCACGTTTCGCTTGTTGGGTCTCCTGCAGAGACAAAATTATCGATATTATTCATTACGTAAAATTCTCACGGGAGAGATTGTTTTTGTTGTTGGTGGGTGGTTTTTTTTTACTCCCAAGGATCTCTCTCCAGACCATTTATTATTTGTGGCTACAACTTTGTCGTTGCCTACTTGAGAGCGTGAGCGGGGAGGGGAGGCGATGATTCCGCTACCGACGACGAGAAAACCTGCGCTCGCCTTCGTAGCGACGACGGCGATGCTGTCGCTGCTGTCGCTGCTGCTGCTGCTGTGCGCCGAAGGAGCGAGCGCTGGCGATTCCAGGGGCACCGCTGCGGACAGGACCTCTCAGCACCCCCTGGGCCACGACATGGCCTCTGCGCACATGTTCAAGCTCTACGACAAGTACATGAAGGGAGGGAGCCGCTTCCTCGAGCAGAACACCATCCGCAGCTTCAAGCCCGCAGTCGGTACGACCACACCAGCGCCTGTCTCATTAATCGCACGCGACAGCTCCTCGAGAGAGTGTGTGTGTGCGCGCGCGCGCACGGGTAATTGTTTCTACACTGATTACCTAATTTGATTACAAAAAAACAATTATTGAACTCGAGGGGCAGTAGCCAGTTGCGTGTGTGCCTACCGCGTACGCGTCCTATAATTATTAGCGGTGTGGCAGCTCCAGCGATTCCTGTCTATTAAGCGGAATAGTTGGACTTAACAAAAATCCCAGGTGCGGGTGATTCCCAATTGCTGAATTCCTTACGGGTTTGTGCTCGCAATGTGCCCTGGCGCACGGGGAATTAAACGGAGAATCAGAAGGCGCCCGTGCCCCTCCCGTCCCATAGCTACTGATTTCTGTGCAATTGCCTTGATGTTCCGATGCTTCTTGGTCTCAGCTGCGTGCGTTCGGCTTGCTTGTGCCGCATCGCGTTGTCACTGGGTAGACCCATGCCACCCTTACGATGGGTGTTCTAGACTGGTAACATAACGTCTGTCTATCAATCAAGGTCTATGTGTCACCCATCACACAGCCAGATCAGCCGGATTGCTACCCATACTGTTGGATATCTGAAGCTAAGCAGGTGTTGATATATATTTTTTTAAACTGCAGATTTCCGGTACAGCCGTGGCACAAAAAAAAGAAAAACTTTAATCGTTGATTGAACCCCCACCACCAGCACCACCATCACCAACATCAGCACCACCCGCCCGACAACTGACAATCGGACGCTACAGATCACAAGCAATCGAGGTGCTTGGTCGACCACGTCATTTTATTTAACCTCATCCTCTTGTTACGTTGCAGTGGTCTGAATTCAAAATTGGGTTCGTGGTCCGGTTGTGCGAGCCGCTAGGGCTTAGCCGCGTATTGTAGGAGGCGTGCGGCTGCGAGGTGCCCGTCAGATGGGAGCGCGGATTGTCACCCCCCCCCCCCCCCGCCGTGTGTTGGTGAGGGTTTTTCTCCGGATTCTCTGGCTTCCTCCTGCTGCGTTTGCGTTTCTTGTCCTTCCCCCCCACCCACCTCACGTACGTACGGTGCGAAAGAAATGCAACATACATACACGGAGCCACGTACTCAATTATGGAATATTCCTGGCGTCTCGGAGTAGCAGCAGGAACCTCCTGGAAGAAAGAATCGCAAGGACTCCTTGTGAGGGTTTTTACATTGCGAATAATTGACGGGTGCCACGTGCGGTTGGCGAGTGGTGGCGTGTGTGGGTGCTCGCCGTATTGCTATGCCATCCTTCATTCAGATTTGTCGATAAACGTACACCTGGAGAGTACTTTACAGCGAGCACCTTTATAATGATCGATGCGTGACAACCACGCAGCCCGACTTGCTTTGCTTGCATGAACAAATAGGTGCTGCGAGTGATGTAGCCTGCTCCACACCGACTCGTCAGCATTCATTCGGGCGTGTTCATAAATACGTGCTTTGTAATAGGCTCCTCCGTCTATGTTGGCCGCCTTGACCAGAGTGGTGGTGAAGTATGGTCAAACCACCCTCCCCCCGCCCCCCCCCATAACCGACACGGTCTGTGGTGGGAGGCCCTCATCCAGCAGCGGATTAACAAAGGGGGGGAGGGGCAGTGGGGAGCAGAGTATGTACCTACGTATTGTTGTATGTCTCACACAAGTTACGTGTCTTGGTTATGATATTATGTTTTGTGTGGTATATGTCATTTGTCTTTGCTGTAAGTTATCTGTTGTGTAATATCCTTGTATGTATGTTGAACTTCTTTCGCACCGTACGTAGCCAACCGCGCTAATCGACGGTGCGATTATTACAATATTTGTATAATTCAAATAGGATTATTCTGTCAATTAATGTTACTTTCATTACAATGCCTACTGATTAGAACAATGGAAAAAAATTGTATACATATATATAAACTCTCACGTCGATTTGCTGTTATTGGAATTGGTGCTAACGTGATTTATAAACATATTTAAAATGTAAACATCCAAAGAATTGCTGCTATGTCCTGACTTGACTCTCAAGAGTTGCGCATTGCCTTCAAGGGAAATTAAGCACTTCGGGTTGAGCTGTATTTATATTCACGGTTGGAGTGGCGAGCGCTTTAATAACCATTAAAATAAACACAAGCGGACAATGTTTATATTCTCTCTTATATTTCAATTTTACTGCGAAAAAAAATAACTTAACGGTCTTAAGTGAATATTGCTGAATATAACAACAACAAAAGCCAACCATTATTTTGCAGTCAAAAGCCTTTGTCATTTAAATAAGTTTTCTTCAAAGGGGGGGTTTCCCTTTGCGAACCCGAGTATCCGCCTGTGGGTTTAAACATTTCTCCATAAAATTCTGATTATTCTGATGTTTTCGCTGAGTTTTAGAGAACGCCCTCTGCCGTTCGTTCCCTTCAAGGTGCACTCCGCATGTATTTGACGCGAGCTTTACAATTGATCGTGGAGCTTTGTTTACTCGAATAAGTGACATTTAACCAGAATAAAAGTTGCTTAGAACATGGATCGGGCTGTTATAGTGGAACACGTCTGGAACACGTCTGGAATACGCTGTAGAATGAATTAATTGAAGACAGCCGTTGATGGGTTTTTAAGTCGAAATTCGCTACACGAGACAGATTACAATCCAAGAACAGGAGGCTCTAATTTTGGGAATGCTACTGTAAGGTATCGATCACAACTTCGCGATGCCAGCAGAGGCCGTTACAGATAATTCATTCTGTTTTCGGGAAACTAGAAAGTCACTCGATGTATGCGGATTTCTTGAGATTGCCTCCTCCCCAATGGAAACAGCAGTGAAGTCGTCGGCTTCTTCAATGTCACTCGATTCTGTCAGCTTGCTTTTGTGTTTTAGGATTGCTTGTTGTGTTTAGTTTGTCGTCAATTTCCCCGGCACCTCCGATAAGCACCGTTGGTTACGCACGGTGCGAAAGAAGTTCAACATACATACGTGCATCAGTGGATTAACAACTACGCTGAAAATCGCCAAGCAGTTATCAATTGATTCCACCCTCTCCCCCAAAATGTTTTATATTTGACTGCTCTACACGGTTCGATGACCCTGACCTATTTGTATTCCGCCATCGATCCGTAGAGCTTCGAGACAAGGGCATGATCTTCACGTTCAACCTCACGTCCATCCCCAACTCGGAGAAGATCTTGGCCGCGTCGTTCCACTTCACCGCCGACGAGCTGAGCCCAGGCCGAGGTTCCTGGTGCCCCCACAATCGCCGCTCGCCCTGCCTGGGTCCAAGGTCCGCGGATCTCCTTCAGTTCGCCTTATGGGGTTCTTCTTCAAGTCCCGGCCTTCCTCGTGGCTTCTCCTCATTCCCCACCACTTCATCATCCTCCTCGTCATCTTCCTCGTCCTCCTCTTCGTGGTCCTCCTCCCACGCGGGCTCCAAGGGCTGGCAGGTACGGGACGTGACCTCCCTGGTGAAGAACGCGAGGACGCGTGGAGACGCGCTCCTGTACGGGGAGGCGCGCCTCGCTCGCCGCCGAGACATGCACAACGTGCTCTTCAACATCAACAACAATATCAACAACATCAACAACAGCGGCAGCGGCGGCAACGGCGGCCCGTGGGAGAACTCGCCCTACCTGCTCGTCTACGCAAACGACTCCGAGATCCTGGAGCCCAACAGTGTGGTGACGACGCTCCAGCGCTACGGGCGCTTCCCGCTGCACGAGGAGCGCGTCCCGGCCGCGAACCGAGCGCACAACGCCACGGCCGCCGCCGCTGCCGCGCGACGCCGGCAGCGCAGAGCCGCGCTGCCCGCGTCCCTGCTCGACAACGAGCTTCCCGACGACGACGACCACCACCGAGACGTCGTCAGCCTGGGCCTCGCGGGTGAGGAGGACAACAACGCGAGCGAGGCGTCGTGGAGCGAGCGGCCACGCGGCGCTGCCGCGACGGCCGCGGACGCCGCGGAGGGCGGCGTCGGCTCGCCCGTGGCGAAGACGTCGTCCCGACGCAAGGCTTCGGCGTCGAGGAGACGCGAGGGGGAGAGGCGCAGGGGCAAGGCCACGTTCAGGAAGGCGGTGGCGGCGGCGGTGGTGGTGGGCAAGGGGCGCGGAGGAGCGGGAGCTCAGCAGCAGCAGCAGGCGGCGTCCCGAATGCTGAGCTTTGACGAGCAGACGCTCCGGCAGGCGCGGCGGAGGCAGATGAAGGAGCCGCACACGTGTGCCCGGCGTGCCCTCCGCGTGGACTTCGCGGACATCGGGTGGAGCGAATGGATTATCTCGCCCAAGGCGTTCGACGCACACTACTGCGCAGGCGTGTGTCGCTTCCCCATGTCCAAGGTGAGGACAGGGCGGGTGGGTGACGGGTGAGAAAACCATTAAAGTAAAGACTATGTTGGGGGGTTCTTTTTTTTAGTGACCAAGTAAGGTCCCCACTGAGCTGTATGGCTCTTTTTCGGAAGTGACCTGGTCACAAATGATAGCTTCAACGAAGTGCCTCATCATGTTGGACATTGATAGCGGCCAAATAGTCTAAACGCGTGTTTCTAAATGTGGAGGGGAAAACCGGAGAGCTCGGAAAAATATCCACGCGACCACTGTGATGGAGACGCGCAGACTCCAAATATGCAGCAGGCGTCAGGGTCGGGGTCAAACCCACAATCTCCTGCATACCAGGCGAGGTAGTTAACATCTCCTAGCCACCGTGATGATGATGATGATGAGAGAGAGACACGCAAACTCCAAATATACAACAGCAGGAGTCAAGAGTCTGGATCGAATCTACGACCTCTTGCATATCGGGCGAGGTATTTAACATCCTGCAATCACACGGCCCACTGGCATGGCGGTCGTCTTGCCTGCCTGGCAAGGTTTTTTTTTACGAAGATTTTGGTATTTTACGGCCCCTGTGGCAATCCACTGCTGGATGACGGCCGCGATAAACTTAGCAGCAGACCCGGGGGAGGATGGGCGGGATGCGTGGGGAGTTTGCAGCGACATCTTGGCAGTGCAATGTACCATCTACGAACACATTCTTTGCACCCTTAAAATCAGATCTATAGTAAAAAATATGCATTCTGTTGAAAACGAATATTATAATAAGATTAAGAATATACGGACCTTTGTCTATCCACTGCTGGATGTTTGAGCACACTTCACGCTGAGCAGTGCGGAGCGAGGACGCCGATGTCTGCCCAGTGCTGTCGTTTACAAACAACGCCAGGTTATTCATTTCAGGCTAAGTCGACCTAGGGAAGTTCCCACGATCGATGCAGGTTCGCCAACTCGCCGCCGACGTTAGTCCCGTCCTTTAATCAAGAGCGAGGGTTCACAGGGCGGCGCGCTAAGCGTGGTACCGCCGCTCTGCCCCGTACAGCAATTACCCAACTTAATGTGTGTGTGTCTCCGAGTTTTAGCGTCGGTCACGTAATCCTGCGAGGAGCTTTGGGCGTTATCCTGTTGTATGCCTGGGGTTTGCTTCGGGTACTCAAAACTCTGGCGAAATAGCCTGCAGAGCTGATGATCGCCAATGTACGACCAATGGCATTTGATCTCTGTGAAAGAAAAACAATACCGGAACGATGCTAGCCTGACGGTGTTTTGGAAGCGTCTTTAACCCCCTTGCTACACATGTAGCTTTAGGAGGCTTTCATGATACTCGTGCAAATGTCATTTTACTTGGAATTTCAGACCTGGAAGAAACACAAACAAAACATTCTCCCCGTCTATAGGACAGGGCCTGCGTTGGCTCGCTGATTGTGACATGAAGCCACCGTCGTCGTTTGAGAGAGGTTCGGTGACCCACGTCCTGTGAACCAGCGCTGCTGCCGCAATGATCGGATGGTTGGCTGGCAGATCAAGCAGATTTGTGAAAAACGCTATGAAGCCCCGTTGTGCTGCGAGGTGGTCAAGAGATGGCGATCACGGCCAGTTGGTTATTGAATCCCGCTCGGGGCTGAGGACGTTTTCCCCTCGTACGCGCGGGGTAATTCTCCGCGTGTTCAGGTTTCCTCCCCCCCAATCCACAACACTCGGTCATAGAATTGTACAACCGTGCACATGCATGACCCTCCTGAAAAAAGAAATATTCTAACGACTCGGTAAGCCTTTCCTGGATGTTGTAGCATTTTTTATTATTCATATCAAATTCGTTCGTCAGCGATCGTTTATTTGTGTGCATTTCTTAGCGAAAAGCTGCGATTCTCTCCATGCCCAGAAATATCATGAATCACCAGTGATTGTCCGTTTGGTCAAGACGTTAATCCACGTGGCTTTTACCTTAGGTAGGGTCGCATGGCGCTTACCATAGCTAGGGTCACATGGCACTTATCATAGCTAGGGTCGCATGGCACTTACCATAGCTAGGGTCATATGGCGCTTACTATAGCTAGGGTCACATGGCACTTATCATAGCTAGGGTCGCATGGCACTTACCATAGCTAGGGTCACGTGGCGCTTACCATAGCTAGGGTCACATGGCGCTTACCATAAGAAGGGTCACGTGGCGCTTACCATAGCTAGGGTCACATGGCGCTTACCATAGCTAGGGTCACGTGGCGCTTACCATAAGTAGGATCACGTGGCGCTTACCATAAGTAGGATCACGTGGCGCTTACCATAGCTAGGGTCACGTGGCGCTTACCATAGCTAGGGCCACGTGGCGCTTGCGATAGCTAGGGTCACGTGGCGCTTCCCATAGCTAGGGCCACGTGGCGCTTCCCATAGCTAGGGTCACGTGGCGCTTCCCATAGCTAGGGTCACGTGGCGCTTACCATAGCTAGGCTCTGCATTGCGTTGAATCCGTTTTCCATGCCCCTCCCCCCCCCGTCTCAACAAAATTAATACAAATAAAAAGTAGACGTGGAGCGGTGGATAGATATATTGAAACGCTTCAATGTTTAAATATCCATACTCCAAAATATCGAAAATTGCGTGTGCAAGAATCATTGTTGTTTCTGGATTCGTACGTGTTGTGCGCAATGGGTTCAACTTGAACCCCCTGCAGCCACTTGTGGCCGCTACATTCACCACCACCACAATTAGATATTGTGAATTAAATCACAACCATAGATCACAACGGTTAGTCGAATCACGGTGGAAGGGTGAGCATTCCGAATTTGGACGGGGCTGTGTCTTGCCATAGTAATGTGGAATGTTCCCAACGTGCGTAGGGCCAAGAGAGGAAACGGGCATCTTCAATCGGTTCTCGGGGCACGGGAATATTCCCCCTCGTCGTCTGCAGTTTATTAATCGCACTGCCTCCCGTGTCTACGCTTCGGTATAGGTCAATAGACGGCAGTTACCTGAATGTAGCGTACGCACAAAGGCATCCCTGTGCTGATGGAAATAGAACCCTTGAATGGTTGCATAGTCGTTTACGTACGGTGTGTGTGTGTGTATATATATACGTGTGGTGTGTGTGTATATAAACACGCGTTTTGCGAAGTTAAGCTCGGGTTACTGGCGACTGCAATGGCACAAGTGCAGTGACTTCTTACATTATAGCATACAGTATATGTTTGCATTGGATTTAAACCACGGCGAGTATATTTAGCAAGGCTAAATGTTTATTCAAGCTCCATACGTCGTGGCGCATTTAAAATAGCGTTGCGTTGCAATAAACACGCTCTTGTAAGGTTGTGCATTTTACTTGGATTGCGACGATTCTGTATTTACTCGTTTTTAGAATCGATCCTCTTTTTAAATTGTAGCGGCCTTTAGTGGCTGGGAGGGGGTCACGTGAACCCGTTACCGCATAATAAAATATACATATTCATCGAGGAATCAATCAATACACAGATACGCCACTTAAATGATACTCCGGCAGTGAGTACGTCCTTCACCATTCAGCACCAGAGACAGCGACATTCCTCCCTACCGTGTAGATCATTAAACGAAACTTTGTATTTATTTCATCGGGTAAGGCTCACTGAGCTATATCGCTCTTTGTTCAGAAACGACCTGGCCGCAAATACTCGCGCAACGAAGTGGCTCATCACGTGGACATTCACAGCAGCCCAACTAGTCAAAAGGCGTGATGTTGATTCTAAATGTGAAGGGAAATACCGGAGGACCCGGAGAAAAATTCACGCGAGGACTGGGAAGAACATGCAACCTCCAAATATACAGCAGGCATCAGGGTCGGCATCGAACCCACGACCTCGTGTATACCAGGCGAGGTAGTTAACATCTCGCCACCGCGGGAAACAGCTGCGTTGGCAGTGGTGCCAAAACACAATTAACAATAACAAAAAGTCGACATCCGTCAATTAAGCTGTGGCCTTATAAGAAAAACATATATATATATAACATGCGACGTTTTGGGCAATGGCCCTCCATCATAGCAACATGAATGTAGCTCCTTTAATGCAGCCGGCGTGTTGTTAAACGCTCCTCGCACGCTTTTAAATGCGCGCGATTACAATAAGAAAGCCTGTAGAGGAACAGCTGAATTAAGAATTTTGGAGAGGGAAAAGGAAGCATGTCGTGTAATTGTCGTAATAAACCTCCCCTTGCTGCACCACTAGATGGCGACAAACGCGCTCTCTGAAAATGTCAGGATCCGTTGGTAACGTTCCACGAGACGTGATAGCATAACACCGCGAGTTGAACTTCTTTCGCACCGTACGCAGCCAAGCGTACTCTGGAGAAAGAAACGAATGCTTATGTTCAGGCCGTATTGCGTGGATTAGCCAACGGCCTGCCAGCGAGAGAAAACAATAGGTCCTTACATTGACAATCGGAGGTGGTGGAGCGGTGGTACAGTGGTTAGCGCACTGCGTTGTGAACCTGCCAATTAGAAATTTGAATTTCGGCGGTGAGTGATGTTCGAAGCGATGCTCACCACCTCGCCCTCACTTCGTCAACCACCACTAATCACCGGGGTGAAGTCCCCGTCAAATAACCTCCGTTACGAACACGGCGTGGGGAGGCCTTCATCCAGCAAATGATCGTCACAGGGATTCAAATGGAATGATGCGATAACAGGGGATACGCGACTGCAATCGATTGGCATTCATTTACACCTCGGCTTTGGCAAATGCATTTCACGTCCTCTCGCAAGATCTTAACGCAAGACCACATCGCATAATGAAAGAAAAAAAAGCGAATGCTTCCAATCGGAATTCAAACAGCAACTACGAATCAACGCGACACTGAAACTATTCGTTTAACAATAAAAAGACAACCCAGAGAGAGTAATCGGATTGACATCTGGTCGAGGAGGCTGAATTACATTATAGTCACACAAGGACTCAAACGGCTCAGGGTTAAGATTCTCGATTTGCCCTCAATCGCGGACAGCAACCGAGCTTCATCGTCAAACTTCAGATTGAGTACAAATCACTTCGCTTCGTCCGTCGGGGATGCGTAATCGGTGAGCCACGTGGCAGCATCCTCGGTGGCCGTGTGTGCAGTACGCGGTGGGCCACCGACGTCGTCCGGTTCATCAATTAGCCATTATCTGTCGGTGGTGTTCCTTGCATGCGGACAGAGGGCAAAAGCTTCTCAACCGCCCCCTCGTTACCTCCCTCTCCCCCTTCCCCACCATTGGAAAACAAAAAAAAAACAATATTCCATTGAGCCCCGCAGCCCACCCCAAGCGGAGGTGTTGGCTGCAGTGTTTATCGCTGTGGAGATTGAGGTCACGATGCCCATCACGTGTGCGGCTGCCACCCCTCGGCAACTTTTCCCTTTAGCTCTCACGCGGCACTCCGCTTGGTGAGGGGTGTGTGGGGGGGGGGGCAGCGCACCCGCTCGTCGCTGCTCGCCCACAGTAGGGGCCCCGATGGAACGTGAGGCCGAGCGCCTTAACGGAAGGCCGCGGTTGATCGAGCCGCTCCGTGACCGTCGGCGCGCGTGAGAGACACGCGCGCGGCTAGCTGGGTGCCAGTAGGTTGCAGCGCAGAAATTAAGCCGCAGTCCCACGTACAGATGTTTCCGCACGCATGAGCTTCCTCGGTCAATTCCAACGCACGCGTTATTGGTGTACGCACGAGGACACGCGGTTGTTCAGCACCAGTCAAGTGCCAGTGTATTGCAGGAAAGAAAATCGGCTTCCGTTCTATCCGTAAAAAAAAAAAATATCTGTTTGCATGTTTGATTTTTCCCTGTGTATTCCATTTTCGGCAGTCCCTCCTCCACGCCACCCCAGCATGCAAAACATCCCCCGCGAGTTAATTGGCCAAACAAAAACAATGCAGGACCTTCCTGAAACGGTGTACAACAACTAATTTGAGGCTTCACTGCGTAAACAAACGACCTCTTGGAATCGCCACCGAACGGCTAACTTGTGTGGTTGTCCTCACGTACGCTCGCACGCTCGCACGCACGCACGCACACGCAGGCCGTGCGCCCGTCCAACCACGCCACGCTGCAGAGCATCGTTCGCGCCGTGGGCATCGTGCGGAACGTGCCGGAGCCGTGCTGCGTGCCGGAGAGCATGTCCTCGCTCAGCCTCCTCTTCCTCGACCAGAACTACAACGTGGTGCTCAAGCTCTACCCCAACATGGTGGCGGAGACGTGCGCGTGCAGATAAACACGGGAGGGCCCGCGCGCTTCAGCAGCGTCGTCCGCCACACACGCACATAGACTGAGAGAAGAACCCCCACCGCTCACACCTCCCCCCCCCCCCAACACCTTTCGCATTCACAGAGACTGTAACACACACCCAGGGCAGATGATGAATTGATTCGTGGGAGCAGTGTTGGCCATCACTGGCGCCCCAAGCCTGGAGTGGCCGTTGCGACACGCGCATCGTACTCAAAGGTGCAAACGCTGCTCTTTGTTAATTCAATCGCAGGCGCGGTACAGCGTCAGGGATTGACCCCAGACCTCCACTCATTTTCTTTAGTCCAGTGGCCAGGCTGGGATCACAACAAACTATAGCCATTATAGACTCCCCCCCCCCCCCCGATTGGCCAGCTACCATGCCATGCTGTTGCCGATAGTGTCGGAGTGTTTTGTAAAGTTGATCGCAAAGCTAAAATGCATCATGTAGACATATATATTCGACAGAAAAGTAATCTAGACCTGCACTGGTCCATCACTGCAACATGGTGTCAGCCAATATTGGCCCCAATTTGCATTTCCTGTATTGCTTTCGCATAGGGGTGAACGGTCATGTTTGGTCTGTTAAGTGCAGCTCACCCCAAGTCTGGCACGGTGGCGAGATGTTAACTACCTCGCCTGGTGTACAGGAGCTCGTGGGTTCGGTCCCAACCCTGACGCCTGCTGTATATTTGGAGTTTGCATGTTCTCCCCCATGGTCGCGTGGAGTTTTCTCAGCATCCACGTGATAAGTCACTGCGCTGATGCTATCATTTGTGATGCATTCTGAAAAAGGAGATGAATAACTCAGTGGGCCTTACCTGATCAAATACAAAAAAATAGTTTTAATTTTTTTTTTTAGAGCTCATAAGGCACGGAAATGATACACGCGGTGACTCACGGAGTACTGCGTGGGGAGGGAACTTGTCCTCATAAATCACAAAGAGCCGCGTGCCATCGTTGCACGGAGCACACTGCGTCACATCCCGCGTGTAGATCGTGAGCGCGACGCCTGCTTTCAGGCCGAAACGCGGCACGTGTGTCTCGGTTCACTCCGGTCAGTCGTGTTTCATCCAAATATAAACGACGCAGGCCGATCACGTGGCTCCACTCGTTATGTAACACGATGCCTTTTTGAATGAGTAACCAAGCTCGGGCTTACACGTGCGACGAGTGTTCCCGCATTTCAACGTTTTCTTTTTTTGATCCATATTTGTGATATTTTTTTTTAAAAATGTCAAAGGTATAATTAATGGCATTGTATAATCCTGTAACGAGTAAATGCTTATTTTGACGTGACAGAGTCGCATTGAGTGCAGGTGACAAAAGCTTAGTCGCGTGCAGAATGACGTTATCGATGAACGAGATCGCACGTGCCCACTACGCGCGTCAGTCAGACCTCTCTGTCGATGCCATCACGAGTATAGGCGCATTATTTTCCCTTGGCGCGTCTCAGCAACAAGTTATGCGAACAAAAAAAACTGATCCCAAGACTCCCATGGCACAGACATTGTACAATGAGGGTGACAATTATAACAGCACTTAATAATTTACAGCCCCTTGTCCATCCACTGCCGGATGAAGACATCCTTCCCCATGCTTTGTTGGTCACGTGGGTTGTTGGACCATACTTCACCATGCTGGTCAGTGCAGGTTTGTGAAGATGGCGCCCGGGACCGGTTCGGCTATCACACGGCCACGAATCATGGCCGTGATTGTGAAATTAAGCCAGGTAGCCGGGTTCCTAGTGCAGTGCGCTAACAACTGCAACCACCTCTCCCCAGACAGTCGATGCTATGGTCAATCCAGACAAGACCATCTACAACCATATTTTATTCAGCTGATTCACTGCTAAAATCCAAGTCGCCTTCCTGGCTTCTGCTGCTAAGTGTGTGTGTGTCGGTGCAGACTTTAGCCTAAAGGCAGAGAGTATTTTACATAAGTTCCTATATAAGTTCAGCCACCAATATAGTGCATATATAGTCGTTTTGATCTTATACATAGGGTATATGTAAAGTCAGATTTCAAAAGTAATTCCTGTAAATGCTTTAAAGAAGAAGTTATTGATCTTTGTCAATCCACTGCTGGGTGAAGGCCTCCCCCACACCATGCTGGTCATGTTGGTCATGTTTGACCATACTTCACCACGCTGGTCAGTTCAGACTGGTGAAAAAATTTGGCCAAGGACCGGTTTAGATATTACTCACCACTGATCTTAGCCGTGACCGGGGATTGAACTAAGATCACTTGGTTCATCGTAGCACAGCGATCTAAATCTCTGTGCCACTGCTCCCCGCAAATACTTGGTAATGGGGAATAGGGCATCATTCCAACTAAGTCAGTGGTAATAAGCATTGGTCAAAGTGGCCATAGCACAATACCCACACTTCAATATCTCAGCGGCCATGCACACTAAGTGCGTATGCACGAGTACATGTCGAGCAAAACGTGAATGAAACGCTCCAACATAATTACTCAATGCACGGTGTTTGTCTGGCATGGACGGCCCTCTTGTCGATCCACGTCTGCACGAGGGCCTTCCGATGCAGGGGCGGCACGTGGGGATCACTTCACCACGCTGGGCAGTGTGGGTTGGCCGACGGTGGGCAGCGTAGATGTAGGAGCACGGGAAGTACAATACAACAATGGATTTTTCTGCATTGTCTTCAGCTGCCCACAAAGTACTCTCCCCCACCCCGCCACCCCCGCCGCAGCAGCCCTGTGGCAACCCGTGCATGTGTGGTGATGGTCACCCCATGCGAACACGACCCAGACTTAAGCCGCCCTGCTTAGCGAACTTCAGATATTTGACACAGATCGGGGCGCATTCAGGCTCATTCGGACATTTAGCGGGACGCAAGAGGACAAGTCACGTGTCCTGCCGTTCACTATCGGCCAACGCAATCTCACAGCGAACACAACGTACACCATCGAGCGGGCATTTTTATCGCACCTCCGATTAGCGACGCTGGCTAACGTAAGGGTGCGAGAGAAGTTCAGCGTGCACACGTGCACACGTAGGCACACAACGCAGTGCATTGTAACTTTGTTGCAGTGCTTATGGAGTGGGGGGGGGGGGTCAGTAGATCAAGATCGATGTCGGAATGGTCAGTAAGAAGAAACACTTTATAACAGTATAATACGTCTGTATTTAATGGCAATGACTTGTTATGTATACGTTACCAATATTATATCGCATTGGTTTTATTTGTTTGATTTGATTTCATAATGATAAGAAAAATAATAATGTTTTTTTGTTTCCTTTTCACAAATGTACAGCACGAATTAAAATATACGCCTCGGTAAATGTTAGGCGATTAACATTGACATCTTTATAAATTATTTAACCGTAGTATTTTTTTCCTTCAGTTTTTAAGTTATTAAATTCAAACTTAGCGCGCGTCTGCTAATAGTTTGCTAGCGTTGGTAAAATATTTGTATTATTATTATAAATATACACGAGATATACACGTGTCCAGTGCCCCCCACATATCGGCTCTCTCGATATAAGCAAAGCCCTCCCTTTGTCGATCCACTGCTGGATGAAGTCCTCCCTCCCCTTGCTGTGTCAGACATGGGAGGGGTGCGGGGGGGGGAAAGGGAGTTGGTTGACCTGACCATACTTCACCACACTGGTCGATGCAGATTGGTGTGAAGTGGCCTAGGGGTGGGTGGGTGGGCGGCATGACCCAGTTTACTCTCCACTGATGTTATCCGTGAACCGGGAATTGAACCCAGGTGGCCGGAGGTTCATGGCACTCCGCGCTATAAACAATGTAATCTGTGGATGCGTTGCCAGGGCGTGAGACCGAGTTATGTTATGATGACGGTGGTGTATTTAAAAATGTTACATTTTGTACCGCTTTGGAATCTCGAACGGTTTACCAATTACAGATCGCATTAAAGTGGTAACTTTCCCTCCTGCCTGCACACTCCCAAGTGTTTGCTTTTTGAATCTCAACCACGTTTATTACTTTGGAGCCAAATGCAGTGCAATTATTATTCCGCCGGGAGGGAATTCGCTGCCCTCCGCGCGGTCACACGTCAGCAAATGACATGCTCCCCTGCCTAGAGTAATTCACACGTACCGCCATAATTGGCAATCTGCTGCTGGATGAAAGGCTTCCCCCCCCCCCCTCCCACGCCTTACGGCTCTTGGGCGATTGATTGATTGTACTTTACCCCCCCCCCCCCCCCCACCCTTGGTTAACGAGGATTGTCGGCGGGGGAGCATCGAAGTGGAAGCAAAGAAGTACAGCACAACGATGGATTTTTTTGTGTGGATGTAGGTCACCCATCTAAACGCGGTCCAGGATCTCAATTCTGCAACTCCACCGGGACCTAGGGGATTTATCGCTCAAAATAAAAACATATCCTTATAAGCATAATAACATGCGGGACAGTCGTATAGTATCGAAAACCATTGCTTGATGTTGCTTGACGTTGCCTATGGATCAATAGCACGCGCATTTATCAGGCAAATAGAACGCAAAGCTTAAAGGTGTGCAAAGAAGCGTGCTGGGAATTCCACTGAGAGAGACAGAGGGACACGCGGGATCAGAGAGCGTACGCAAGTCAGACACTTCACATTGACTGTTTACATTTGTTTTAGTACGTTGGCTTGGACAGGAGGCATTGCTGGAAGGGGTGATGGCCGGTGGTCGAGACTAACGACGGAATGGCAACCAAAGGAGGATACGAGCCTTTTTTCTGAGAGAAGTTCCACCGCGGAGATGGAGCGATGGAATGAGCTCGCATGCAGTAGCTAAATGCATTGGTGCATCGAGAGATAGAGATGCCAACGGCTTGGGCTGGCGTTCATCCAGCAGATACTGATGCTTACGGTTTGTATACAAAACATGCAGCTTCAGACTTGGCGAAGCGTAAATGTGAACGTTTTAAGCATCACGACCGCCCGACATTACGAAAACCTTGCGCGAGTGTACGCAATTGAACCGGGCAACCGGGGGGTCCTATGGCTGACATTTGTGCATAAGTGGTGTCTGGGCCAAGCCCCTTCGCCTGCCCAGGGTAAGAGCGGTGAAAGTGCAGCGCATTAATTCCTTGCTCACGCCACTGCTGGTGAAAGGGTCTCCCACTAGAGCAGTGGCTCTCAACTGGAGGTACGCTGAACCCCTGGGGGGCACGTTGGCAAATGTCACCACCGGTGGTTAACGTGCGGTGATTCGTAAACGTGTGAAATTATTTCATGCATGAGTCATTGGCGAATAATCATGTAATGAATCCGCCAATGTGAAATAACTACGATAACATTTAAATCTGCATGGTAATCTAGAACGACATAAAATACCTTTCTAAAGTAATTGATTGCAAACAATGTGATGTCCAAGAGCAATCGGCGAAGCGCGAAAAAGTTTCATCACGCTCGCAGAGCGTCCGTTGAAGTTTGTTTCATTCGCTTGCAGTCACTGGCTAGGAAGGGATGCCTCGCAAAACGGACAATTGGTTGAAATCCTTGTTGGGTCAGGCAAGGGGGTACTCGGCTGAAACTAAATTCGACGAGGGGCGTACGGTAAGCCAAACAAGTTTGAGAACCACGGCACTCGAGGAAGCTCGCCATACCGCAAATCTTCAGTAAATTCCGTGGATTTTTTCGGGACGATCCTGCATTGATTGGAACGTTTTGGCCAATGCCTTTAATCAGTATCTCGTGGGCGGAAACCGGAGTGCCACAAGAAAACCCACCGTGCGTTCTACGAATACCCTCGAACCATCAGAGAGTTGCATCCCGCCAATGTGTTTCCTGATTGCAACCGCGTATTTATTCGGTACGACGTCAGACGTTTCGCTCCGCGTGCTGGGAGCTTCTTCGGGAACGGGATACACATTGGAGAGCTCTCAGTGTTTAGTCGTTGTTGCTGCTGTGCTCACGAAACCGCGGATCTCCATTGTAAAAAACATATAGCCGGGCAACTGGCTAAACGGGATCATCCGTGTTACAAATAAAATAAGCTCGATACTCAAATTTAGTGGTGAGTGATATAACACCCCCCCTCCCCACAACTCGCATACTTCATCGTGGTGAAGTATGGGTAAACAACCCCCCAATGATCGACAGGGCGTGGGCGTGGGGCGAGGAGAGGAGGTCTTCATCCAATAGCGGATTGAGAAAGGGCCTGCTGCTGCTGCTCGTCGTCTTCATCGTCAGCATTATCTATGAACGGATCATCTTGTATGAATGGGCAGGAGTGGGGGGACGGGGTTGGAGGAGAGGCAAGGGACACCTGTACCCAAGCACATAAACACGACTCCGTCCAGAAAAAAACAAGGTGAGGGGGGGCTGGCAACCGGCTTGCGCCCGCGGGGATCACGCTTAATAATCTCATTTAGCGAGTTAATCTAGCGTAGAGTAAACACGGGCGGGGTCGCGGCGAAGAGAAAGCCGGATGGCAATTACACCGGGGGGGGCCCTCGGAACGAGGCCGCGCGAGCACGGGCCAATGTGCAATGAAAACATTGCCCGCGTACGCGTTCGCATTACGTAATGTGTGGTGTATGTAGTGTGTTGTGGTGTGGTTTGAGTGGTGTGGTGTGTGTGCTGTGTTGTGCTGTGTGTGTGCTGTGTTGTGGTGCGTGTGGTGTGTGTGCGTGCGTACAGCAGCAATACGGGGAGCGGTAGTGGAGCGGTTAGCGCTACGCCTCGCTACGAACCTGGCGACCCAGGTTCAATTCCCGCTCACGGCCAACACCGGTGACGATTTTTTTAACCGGTCTTGGGCCTCCCCTAGGTCGACTTGGCCTAAAATGAGTACCTGGTGCGATGTGTGGACATCGCTACTGGGGAGACAAAGCTGGTCGGGTGTGGTTGCTGGCCACCCACCTCCTCGTGTGCCGTGCCGTCCTTCATAGGTGCTCGCTAACAGCACTTGCCCCAACAGTGTGTCAAGGCTAAACGGGGCATCTTTGTCTTTGTACAGCGGCAATGATGTAGGGGCGCTTTACATTACTCTGCTAACTAGTCAGGCAGGCAGTGCCGGATGATCCTCGTAGCAAAAGTAGCTACATATGAAGTAGCTACTACTAAACATTGTAGTAGCTACTGCACTACACGTGAAGTAGCTACTACACTAAATGCTTTCAAGCTATCCATTCCGGTTCAGTGATTCTGCACTTGCTCTATTGCTATAGTACTATACCGCCTTCAACTTTTATGAACGTCGTATTATCTGGCTGTATAGCAAATGAAAAAAAATACAATTACTTAACTGTGCAAGTAAAACATTTGTGTGTTTTAATATTTAAGTGTTTTATTATTATTATTCTTTAGGGCCCCTTTATAACATGTGCTATACAGACCCCGCACTCGCTTAATCCGGCACTGCGTTGGTGTCATTGCGCACGACCCTTCGTAAGTCGCTCCGCTGCCGGATGAAGGCCTCCCCGCGTCGTGTCAATCGCGGTGGGATTGTTTGACTACACGACAACATCCACGCAGTATTCGCTCACTCTGGTGTAGAGAGGGAGCGTGCTCAGAGGCGCTAGGAATGGAATACGAAAGGACAGGGGTGGGGGGCAGGTAGGCTGCAGCAGTCACGTGATGACTCGGTGTCAACAATTGCCCGAGCTCTGCGTGTCTATCATCGGAGTATGTTTGTTCGCATGTTTTTTTTTGCCACAAAGCACGCGTGGCTAGTGCAGACTCGATCCTTAACCATCGGTTTTATTGCCAGAAACGGTAACGTCTCTTCCAAATGTTCGTACTCTGATACTGACGATAAAAAGGTCCCATAGAGATAATGCGTACACAAACTTGTAAGGGCGTACAGACCACACGGTTAATACGAGACAACAGCATATTGATTATCGAATCGAATAATGACAAATCATATATAATCGCCTGACGAGCGAATCTTATCATCATCGTGATGATGATCATCATCTGAACCTTATGGCGGGACCCCGGGGTCCCGTAAGCCCCCGGCTCTCGCATAAACTGCGTCGCGACGTCATTTGATGTCCGTTGCAGACGAACGACACGGCGATCTATTCCTCTCGACGAGTTCTACACGATGCGCTAATTAAAGTTCAAAGTTGTGTTTCTTCTGACAGCAAAATTATCCGCGCCAGGTGGGTCGCGGCGTTTACGTGCGCGGTAGGACGGAGTCGCCATAAACGAATGAATTAATTACGATTTTGACTTCCCTTTATTCGGGACCCCGGGGTCCCACCATGCGGTTCATCTGTTGTCCATCTACTGCTGGATGAAGGAATCCCCGTGTCCGTCGTCACCTCTCGCCGTGCAGTGCTGCGAGAGGAATCCTTTAGATGCCGAGTGAGAGAGATACAAACTTAAGTAACAAACGAGAACACACGAAGAGTCCCAGGATCGGCGAGACCTGGACCGGTTCTTTAAATGAAATCTTGAATTGTCACGACGAGTCTGCGTTACACAATATCAGCTCGTTCGGCTTCGCACATCCGAAGAAATTAAGCGTCAAAGGATTTGAAAAAAAATATATGGACACGGACAACAGGCTCAGGTTAAATAAAAACGCGTATCAAAAAAAAAGTCACGGCTTTTTAACAAAGAATCGATTATTAATCCAATCGCCACTCCTTTGAATCGCGTCGATTTACTCGCTGGGGTGGTAGCGAGCTCCTCGCGAGTGGAGGTGACGGGGCGGATCGATCATTAGACACGCCGAGTGAACAGGGGGTGCCCCTCCCATCACGGCCCCATCCTTCCCCTCGCTACTTGTTGTTATGTTTGTTGTTGTGTTTGTTGTTGTGTTGTGTTTGTTGTTGTTGTCCCCCCCCCCTGCACCTCCGATGAGCACGGTGGGCTACGTACGCTGCGAAAGAGGTTCAACAAACAACAGTGGATTAAACAAATAGATGCACATTATGAATCGGTTATTAATTAATTCCTCGTCCTATTATATGTTACTGCTCTACAACATGCAGGGTGGTC